CATGTGACCTCATTGGCCAATCCAGTTGAAAGCATTAAAGCCACCTTTTGTCCATCCTAATTTCTTTGTTCAACATACAGTATATTAATCTCAGTGCACCCCACCACTAGTTAGAACTGAAGAAGCCGAAATGTCTTAGATGTCTTAAATGTCCTAGAAAACTTCACGTCCAATTGCCTAAACTGAACTTTTGAAGCTTGACCACATAGAGATGACTGCCTATTGGACCATTAAACTTAGTTTCAAATGACAGACAATGTTAAATGCAACCTGCAGTGCTGGAAAAAGTTCTGCATCTTCCATAACAGACAGACACTGAAAGATCAAAAGAGGCTATTGCAGACATATCTCAGATAGTCATAGTAAAAATGTGCACCATTAAATAGTTTCTAACATCTCTGAGTTTCTTCTGGTGAAGTTTAAAACATACACTGCCTGGCTAAATGAAAAAGTCACCAACAAAAAAAAGGTCACTCACTCTAATACTTTGTTGGACCCCCTTTAGCTTTGATTACGGGATGCATTCGCTGTGGCTTTGTTTTGATAAGCTTCTGCAATGTCATCCAGTGTTGCATTATTTTTTCACCAAGATCTTGCATTGATGATGGTAGATTCTGACCGCTGCGCAAAGCCCTCTCTAGCACATCCCAAAGATTCTCAATGGGGTTGAGGTCTGGACTCTGTGGTGGCCAATCCATGTGTGAAAATGATGTGTCACGCTCCCTGAACCAGTCTTTCACAATTTGAGCCCGATGAATCCTGGCATTGTCATTTTGGAATATGTCTGTGCCATCAGGGAAGAAAAAGTCCATTGATGGAATAACCTGGTCATTCAGTATAGTCAGGTAGTCAGTTAACCTCATTCTTTGAGCACATATTGTTGCTGAACCTAGACCTGACCAACTGCAGCAGCCCCAGATCATAACACCGCCCCAACAGGCTTGTACAGTAGGCACTAGGCATGGTGGGTGCATCCCTTCACCTGCCTCTATTCTTACCCTGATTAACCCATCACTCTGGAACAGGGTCAATCTGGACTCATCAGACCACATGACCTTCTTCCATTGCTCCACAGTCCAATCTTTATGCTTCCTAGCAAATTAAAAAATGTAAGCTTTTTTTTCCGGTTAGCCTCACTGATTAGTGGTTTTCTTAAGGCTACACAGCTGTTCAGTCCCAATCCCTTGAGTCCCCTTCGCATTGTGCGTGTGGAAATGCTCCTAGTTTCAGTATTAAACATAGTCCTGAGTTCAACTGTTGTTTTTCTTCCATTTGATCTCACCACACGTTTAAGTGATTGCCGATCACGATCAGTCAGGATTTTTTTCCGGCCACATTTCTTCCTTGAAGATGATGGGTCCCCACTATCCTTCCAGTTTTTAATAATGCGTTGGACAGTTCTTAACCCAATTTTAGTAGTTTCTGCAATCTCTTTAGATGTTTTCTCTGCTTGATGCATGCCAATGATTTGACCCTTCTCAAACAGACTAACATCTTTTCCACGACCACGGAATGTCTTTCGACATTGTTGTTTAGGAAATGAGAAGCAAGTCATTGCACCAGTTGGGGTTAAATAACTTGTTGCCAGCTGAAAGATAATAGCCAATGAAGTAATTATCCAATAGGAGGCTCGTACCTATTTGCTTAGTTGAATCCAGGTGGCGACTTTTTTTTTTTGGCCTGGCAGTGTAGTACTGCAAGTGAAAATAGCCAACTCTGCATCTTATTCAGTAAAGAAGTGTTGTTCACGGGGAGGATCTGGTTGCATGTAGCTACTGTATGGTGCATTCACTGATAGGGAAAATATCCTATTTTTGAATTGCAGTAAGAATTCTGCCTGAACTTTGAGTGCAAACATTGATTTACTGCAGCGTTCTTCAAATCAAGATATACAAAATCTGATTCCTGAAAACAGAAACTGCTATCAGACAGAAGGTTTTTAACCTTAGTACCAAGCAGCTCTGGATCTCATAAACACAGGCTGCATTGTTACACAGTCATATGTTGCTGAATAGCAGTGATGTTGCAGCACAAACCAGTGTTTCACACTGTGAACACTGTCTGTTCTCACAATCTGCTCCTCTTCACCGACACATGCACACACTGGTGTCATGCGGTTGTGTTGTACTCCTGATGATGATGGTTGCTGTATAACATTTCTCTGCATCGAGGCTCCTCGGCCCACTGCAGCATCAGAAATGGGACTTCAGTCCTGTTATATAATGCATGATTTTCACCACCATTCATTTTCTGCTCTCAGCAGCCTTGACATTGTGAACAGCGTGCTTTTTACAGCAGAGAGTCAGAGCCAACCATATATTATCAGCTGACTTTATTTTTAGATATATGAGATGAAAGGGGCATGGTTGATGGGAGGGTTGTGATAATTTATTTTTTTGCCTTTTGATCTCCTGTTTTTCTTTGAATTTTAAAACAAATTCATTTAGTTAAATGTGTCAAAAAGGACATTTTAACAGCTTAAAAAAACAGTCATGTTTTATTGCTAGTTTTATAGGCAAATTTTAATCCCTTGGAGATTAACCATGAAAGTTACTGATGATGTAAAACCAGCCAGCTGGACAAGGTTTTGGATTAAAGTTGTAGGGAAGTCATATTTAAATGTCAAATCATTCTGCCTTAAACATGTATATAAATGTACTCTTTATCAGACCATATAATCCCAAAAGTTAAAAAATTTCTATTAAAAAAGAAATCCTGTCTTAAAATGTGTGGAGGTTTTTTCATTATTTTATGCAGGCCAGTTAGTTATACGTCAGCTTATACACCTAAATTCGGCCAATCATATATCAACGGTCATCTGTCAATCAAATTATTTTCGCTCATAGCATCTTTATTCATATGTCAGAGCTAATATACGCAACGGTTGAAATCAGAATCATTTCCTTTCCCATTGAGTTCCGTCCCAGTGTTCACGGGGATGGACGTCTGTGTCTTCAGCAGGCGTAGAGCTAACAGAACTGGCAGCGTTGCGAGGCAAGGGCTCAAACATGTACGGCTGGAAGCCTTCTACATTAAACCAAGCTTCTGCCGCCCTGGCGAACTCTTCCACAACATCTACACCCCACTTACCTCCTCTAAATGAAAAATGTATGACTGAGGAGACTCATCCACGACCTCCGACACAAAACTCTCCTCCTCTTGCATGTTTCCTCTGTCCATAGCGTTCCTTGACAGTGTAATTTCTAAGTCCCCAATTTAGTGCTACTTGGTCCCAATGGAATTTCCCATTGGGAACCTGCTAGCACTAAGTTGCTAACTGGTTAGGTAGATGCTTACGAGAAACCGGCCACAAACAAACATGCTTGCGAACCTTCCGCCAAAGGAAACAGAAATTATAGAGCAGCAAAGTAAAAATGCTCTGCAAATACATACATGTATAAATGACTTAAACAAGCACTTGTCTTTTCTTTATTTAAGTTCAAATGGTGTCTGGCTGTTTTTATAAGATGGATAATCTTCTCTGTGCTTCATAAACAGTCTTTTCTTAACTTATTTGCAGTGAATCTGACTGCATGCTTGTGTTAAATTACTTAGGTTAGTTTATCACAGCAGATAGATGCTGTAGCAGCTCATGCTAACTGGCTACTTGTTTGTTTATTGAAACGCTGTTTATGGTCTAGAGCAGTGGTGCTGAAGTCCAGTCCTCAAAAGCAACCATCCTGTAATCTGTAGGCTACGTTCACACTGCAGGCCTTGATGCTCAATTCCGAAATTTTTTTGTGAAATACGATTTTTTTGTGTTGCCGTTCATATTTCCAAATATATGCGACTTGTATGTGATCTCATGTGTGAACTGCAGTCATACTACTTAGGTGTCTCACATCGGAGTAGAGGACGCAATGACGTCATAGGCCAGCGTGCTCTGTGTTTACGGAAGTTAACATGGATGGTAGTACCGGCGCGCATCTAGTGGCCTTTCCAACCATAAAAATTCAATCTTTTCAATATGGTTAAATATAAATACTGCTCTCCGCATTATCATTCAAAATTTAGCATTAATCTTTATCTTTCAGGTTGTTTTTTTTTAAATGCATGAAGGGTGTATTTTCTGACTCATCTAGTAGAATAGCTTTAAACGGATTTGGAGTCAGTGGTTCATATAAACCAAAGCTATTGAAGAAGAACAGTAATTTTGCTATTAAAGGGTTACTACTAAAGGCTAAAATACGAAAAGGCTTAAAATGCAAGGAAAAACAGAGAATGTCTCATATGTCCAGGCTAGTAGAAAAATTAATACAGATTCTGAGTCAGTGGTTCACATGACATAGAAACTATTGAGGAAAAAATCTAAACTTTGACCAAAAAAAAATCTTTAAAAATATGAAAAATACTTCAAATTAAATTAAAAGATGTGCCTCATTTATGTAATCTAGTAGCAGGATTTACCATTGATTGTGTTTCAGTTGGCCACAAGACAATTTATTTATTTTTATTTCTCAAGATTGTTTAGTTCAGAAGTTTGTTGATGGTCCCAAAGTGAACCACCGGCCGTGAGAAGAGGGAGTAGCAGAGAGTGGTGACAGGTGCCACTAACTCAGCGGAGCTTGAGCTTTTTAATTTTCAAATGTAGAATACTATAAGACTTTAAACACGAGAGCAAACTAAGCTAAAAGTCTGTATAAGTTAGTTAAAGGGTCTGCTGTTAGATTCTAAGACACTCAGTGCAGTTTTTACCCATGGCCTTTAAGGGCACTATACCATGAAATTACAGACCAGGCGCCCCCAAAGTGGCTAAAAGTTAAACAGTTTTACTGCAGTTGCTGTTTACTCAACACAACTTTTCTTTCTGTCTTTTGTGTCTGTGTGTTAATCTATCTTTTTTATTTGGATAACTTTGTATCAGTTGATGCTTAGTCTGTTATGGTCCGTTTGGTATGGTGAGCCACCAGCCAGTTTCTGCTTAACTCCTCATTGTTTTCACTTAAGAGACAAAAAATGGAAAACTTGTGATTTCATAATGCTTTTTTTCCCCCACACAGAACTGAGTTTAAGGCGTATAAAGATGTGAAGCCAGTGAAGATGATTCGTGCAAAGTCTCAGTACCTGCCTCCAGATGAAAAGACGAGTTTAGAGACCAGCTACAGCGCCAACTTTAAGGGACTCGCTCCACTGCAGCCCGCTGACAACAAGGCCCAGGAGAGGAGGAGGATACGCAGTCTGTACAGCGAGCCCTACATAGACCCCATCAAACAGGTGAGAGTACCTACGTCTCAACTTGTAGTGCTGTAGTGATTGTCTAAGTGAGTCTAGAAAAAAGAAAAAGGGATTTATAACAAACTTGTTGGGGTTTTCTTACCCCACCTTCACATTTTGCTCATCTACTTGTGCCTGTGTGCAAAATAAGAATTGACAAAGGGCTGGAGAAGAAAACCATTTTTTCCCATGTCCAGTAAAACATTCTCACTTTTTATCACATTACAACCAGAAACTTCAGTGTAAATTATTGAAATTAATGCTAAAAATCTACAAAATCAAATGGAGACAGAAAATATCTGAAAAGGTTGGCATGCACGTGTATCAAGCCATTCGACTCTGACTCGCCTACTTAGCTTCAGAAGAAGTGCGTGGAATCACACCCTAAATGGTCTTTGTTCTGCTTCTTTGGACTGGACCAAATGCAAACCCAATTTTTTATCGTTAGGTTTGGTTTGCATTCAATTTATACTTTTTGTAAGTGGACTACTGCTCTTAACAACGCCACATCCGACAGAAATGATTAGGGCAGGACAGAGGTCAGACCTGGAAGATAAAGCAGACTCCAACAGGAGACCTTGCAGCGCCTCTGTCTAGAAGATAGCTCAACAAAAGGCACGCTATCCAGTCATAGCTGCTGGACTCCTTAAACTCTAGAGCACAGGTGTCAAACTAGGTCCAGAAAGGGCTGTGTGGCTGCTGGTTTTCTTTCCACCCAAGCAGTAGCACACCAGACTCCATTCATCTCATCAAGGTGAGTCTACTCTTAACCTAATGACTTGATGGGATGAATGGAATCTGGTGTCCTACTACTTGGGTTGACAGAAAACCAGCAGCCACACGGCCCTTTCTGGAACCACTTTGACACCCCTGCTCTAGAGGATCTGATGGACCCAGGGATGCTTTGTTCAGCTTTCCAAAGGAAATTAATTATACCACCCACTCCGTCTAATCTGGATCCACCGTGTTAAAGTGAAACCAACAAGCCGATGTCCCTGGGCTCAGGTTATCCTGAGCTATTTCTATAGTTATGCTGCTATAGGCTTAGACTGCTGGAGGACATAGGGCCCAATTTTCATCATTCTGCTCCATTCTGTCTTTATTCTCCCATTCTGCAGTATTTGTTAGTTCCACCCCTAACTGTATATCTTTCGTCCTCTGACATGGGATTTGGCCTGGCTGTCTTTTCAGGACGGAGCCACCTGGGGAGCTAGTTAACAGTTACCTTTTGTATCTCTGCTTTTTTATAAAAATCTGCTTCAGTCTCCTTCAACCACAGTCGCGCTCACACTGAGCCTGGTTCTGCAGGTTTCTTTCTGTTAAAATTGATTTTTTTTGCTCTCCACTGTCACTACATACATGCTTAGTTTGAGGGATTGCTGAAGAGTCAGTAAGTCGATGCAATCAGCTGTTTTTCCTTGGTTAGAAAACTTTGAACCAATATTACTGTATGATCTGGTTGAATTGTCTCTGAAAAGTGCCTTGAGATGACATGTGTTGTGATTTGGCGCTATAAAAATAAACTGAATTGAATAGATTAAATAGTGGAGCATTACGCTTACTAGGCAAATATCTGAAAAAGCATCAGGTAAGCAAAAGCGCTCAAAAGTGGCGATTTTCTAACTGGTTTTACAATTTGAGTAAACGCACCATATGGTTATAAAAAATATCTCAAATTCTAAAATGTCACCAACTGATCCATGCTCCTATCATGGACAGTGTATGCTACAACCTTCACCTAAACAAGATGTTATTAGTGAAAGCTGTGGAAGAGCTGCAGAGATCCACTGCTCACTGCCAGGACAGCTACAGTAGGAGTCATGCTCTTCACAATGCTGGCTTTTATGAAACTGGAGAAAAAAGAAAGCCTTTTGTTGCCAGAAAATCTAAAAACAAAACTAGTTTAATGATTGCTGCAAGCTACATTAGGAGCATAACATGTGAAAGAAGGACTGCAGTCAGATGAGACCAAAGTTGAACTGGAATCTAAACCTGAGCTTTTACTAAAAGAGGAAAGGGCAAAAATGTCTCTGATTTGATGATTTGAAACATAATCGCCAATCAAGTTCAATTGGCAACCAACATTTTTTCCAATACCATAGATTTACTGTCTCTGTTATGATTATGTTACCATTTAATTTCACTCTATCAACTAAGATACAAATAAAGTGAAGTTTTTGGTTGAAATGTGACAAAGTTAAACACTTCAATGAATGCAAACACTTCAGCAAGGCACCTCATGATCTAATGTGTTGAGACTTTATGGGTGGGGGTTATATATTTAAAGATGACTAAAGTTTTTTTCAGCTCAGGAATCATGTCTTTGCTGTCTGGCATCCTTAGGTTGACAGGTATAGTGCCCTACGCTCTAAACCTAAAAAGCCTGGAGCCACAGCCGCAGGCCAGGGTAAACCAGCGAGGAAAGCCAAAGATAAGCAAAGCGCCACGCTGAAGGGCTCCAAGAAGACGACCTCGGAGAATCAACCCGAGAACCGGCCGGCAGTCGGGGACAAGGAGAAAAGTAAAGAGATCAACAACAAACTGGCTGAGGCAAAAGAGTAAAAATCATTTAGCACTACTTCTCCTTTTCTTTCTTTCTGTGGGATCAAACATGGGCTGCAAAATTGGTTCCAACTTCTTGTCTTTGTTTTCGTCTCTCTCTACCTGCTTACTTGTTCTCTGCTTCGTCCTTCTCTGTCCTCTCACTACCTCCTGGCTACATTTATACTTCAGTCCCATGTCCGGGTGTGAACATGACACGCCATTGCTCTTCCTGTCTCACTCTGTACTAGATCACTATAGTAACGAGTGGGCGGAAGCTTCCTCTTTCTGTCTCCGCCATTTGATGCTACCCGCCTCCCCCACCCGCTGCTCACCACCATCTCCAGGTTGCCATGGCTACTTGGCTGCCTCGCCAACCAATTGGATGACTGTCGTTGCATGGGCTCATTTACAAGCACGTCTGAGGGGTTGGCTTTGATCAGCTGAGCAGATTGCTTAGTAGAGTTTATCAAGGATTTGTCTCTCTTCCCTTTTTTTGTTCTTTTTGGAAGCAAAAAAATGACTTATTGGCTCTTTTTTATTCAATCTTCATTTGTTTTTAAAAAGAAAATCTTTGATAAATGTACCGCTTGGGTATTCATGATGTGTCTGTGATCCACAGCTTGTTCTGTACTTTTCTGTCTGTGTTTAAATATCCATCAATGCTTTGGTAAATGTGATTTCCTTTCTAGTGTTTTATTATGAACTCTGTTCAATGATAGTAAATGTCGTAAATCATCTAAAGATCCTGCTCCCACCATTCAGCATCTCCTTCTTTAATGTATAACGCCCCATTTGTTTCTAGAGAGGCGGTTTAGTTGTATTAGAGCGATTATGCATTAAGGTCGAGCCCTCAGGAGAACAGAGCAGGATTCCCTATGAATTACATAACGCTGTGATGCAGACATAACCCTTTTAAACCAAAGCAGCACTACCATTCTAGTAATACGAGAGGGAGGCGTTATGGAGCAAATGCTGGTCCATTATTTTTGTAGCAGAGAACATGTTATGTAAATAGAAATTTAAAAAGAATGCAATCCAGAAATGAAACTTGCTTTGCATTAATTCACTCAAATGGATGGAAACATTATTAGGCCCGAGCAGCAAAGCGCTGCGAAGGCCTATTGTATTTCGAAAGTTTCTTATTATTATTATTATTATTAGGCCCGAGCAGCAAAGCGCTGCGAAGGCCTATTGTATTTCGAAAGTTTCTTCTTCTTATTATTATTATTACGATTCTTGTTATTATTATTATTTTTTTTTAAGTTTTCTCTAAATTGGCATCACATTTGGAAGGAACACTGCTACTGTCATTGTGGCAAAATACAACACGATAATGTGCATCAACAACAATGTCAGTCATAGTGTAGTTAAACATATTTCATGGCAGCTTTTTCAGCATTAGTTCAGGGAATACAACCTTTCAATGAATGTCCACTTTACTAAATCATTCATCATATTTCTAAACATCTATCCAAGAACTTATGCAAGTCCCTCATGTTTATTGTCATCAGTTCTCATTCTTATTACATCATTAATCCTCCAGCGAACACAGTTCATGCATAACATATCCACTATCAGCATGTAGTTAGTCCACCTGAGCACAGTCCATGTATAACAAAACCACTATTAGTGTATAAATGATGCAATCACTACATATTTAGCATAAGGTAGACATAAGACTAGTAAATATGCACAAAAACTGACATTTTTTAAATAGAGCAAATCAGTTTGGCATTTTTTTCCTTCACTGGTTTGGAAGGTAATTGTGTTTTGGTCTTCATGCTAGACCAGAAACATGTAGAGTTCGGTTCTGCATTATTGACATTGTTTATTAAAAACATGATGCAGGATGAGCTTTATGTGGTTCTGTCTGTAAATAGAAATGTTCAATAAATTTCCCCCTAAATGTCTCCCAGCACTAAATGCTTAATTGCGATAAAGACAGACTTTTATCACAAATATCACCACCTGCATTAAACTAAAGTGGTAACTAGTCTGACAGCGTAACAGAGCGACATACCCCGTCTTTTAATGATAGTTTAAAATCTGAATTATCCATAATTTTATTCAGTAACCTAATAGGCTCTTGTTTTGTTACTTCTAAATATTTCTTGTCTAATAATGTGCAAGACATTTTTTTGTATATTCAGTTTTTTAATTACATGTACTACTTGTTTTTTTAAATTCAGCGTAAGAAAATCGCTGCTCGTTTTTAATGAAAGATCCCCCTCGATACAAGAGAAAACTGTTTAACCCTATAATGCCAAATGTATCATATTTGATACATACGGTTTCTGAAATGTTTTGCGTCTGACACCTTTTGCATAATTTAATGGTAAAAACTTTGCTCAAAATCCTATTGTACACAATCAGATATACCTGATAACAGCCAGTAGAAGACTACACAAAAAATTAGAAAATTTCTAAAGAAATTTTGAGGGG